AAGAAATCGATTACTACTGCAAATTAATTATTACTAATTGTCGAGGCCAGGTAATGGCAGAAATTGCTCATTTCTCGCTGGGATGGCCAACTCAGTTGATCAAAAATTCAATTAACACTACTGTCCGCTTGTTAAGTCCGGAAGGAGGAAGCATATGAAAACGTAAAAATCTCACCGTATGATAGGTGATGGAGGGCAGATTTTTCCGATTTGGCTCATTTGAGAAGAATGTTTTTCCATCAACCTAAACATTCGTTCTATCTTAGATGGAATTTAATTTTCTGGTGACACGGATGCGCGTACAATCACCGAATTAGTAATTTTCCTCAAATTGCCATATGACGACAGAAAAGGTGAATAGTACAAAGAAAATACAGGCTGATTCATTCATTTATTTTAAATGGCAAGCGTTTTGATAGTTATTACTTGTCATTTTGCTGACTTCGGACTTCACAGAGGGGTGGAACATCATAGTGAGAAAAGTTCAAGAGGGGGGGGGGAAGTAGAGTGATTCACACATGTAAAGAGTCAGATGGGCACAAATACAGAGAAAAGGTTAAATGAGTACTGTTGAAGTGGTCGAATCGGGCATAGAGCGGGGTCATGTTAATTTAAAGTCAGAAGTCAACTGCCGAAAAAAAGGCTTTTTGCTGTATGTGTATGCGTTGCTCAGGGTGCACCACGTGGAGGAAAGTCTATCGCGCACCCCCACGGTGGTTCGTAAGTAACAATTGGTAACAGTGAGATGGATGGGCAATCATATTAATAATTTTTTATAAAGGAACATACAAGGTTCAATATACTAAATTTTGACTGTATAACCCATAAAAGCATAAGTTATTTTTGTCGTATTAACATTCATTCAACGGCACCTGGGGAAAACAAGTTGCTACAATTAACGGAATCATATTGACTCACATGTTTTAAAACTTATTCCCTCAAAAGTTGGTGCCATGACCAATAAACTTCATTTCAAAAGCATATTTTTAAATTTTTCAGTCAAACGAAGTAAAGTAAATGCATGCTGCAGAGTTGTGGGCTAAATTAGGTTGAAAGTGGCAAGATGTGATGATAGTCAAATTGTAAAATTTGAGAAAGTGTTAATGTCTAACAAATCTTCGAAACTAATTATTTTAATAAAACAAGACCTGTAAGTAGTAGAGTAGATTGAACTAAACGTGAAAAAATAATTCAAAATAAACCAGGAATAAAGCGAATGATGATGTACCTTCCTCGCTCAAGGAGTAAAGGCTTCTATTGCCGATCGATACGGATAAATATTGGGTTGCCAACTAAGTCATTGCCGTTTTTGTTGACAGATTCACTCTATACTTTCTTTTGTTTTGTTAACGTGGCCAGAGCATCTAACCTATATTTTTTTCTCACTGTATGGGCTTCTAGGTTAATTAGTAAAAGCTTATTTTTGTTTAGTTCTTTAGTCTTGTTTTATCCCAATTTAAAAATGAAAGAACAGAACGTGCACTTCCGACACATTTTATTGTATTACTTCCGAAAAGGCAAGAACGCATCGCAGGCACAAAAGAAGAAGTTATGTGCCGTATATGGAGATGAAGCCTTCAAAGAAAGGCAGTGTCGAAATTGGTTTGAAAGATTTCGTTTCGGTGATTTTTCACTGAAAAATTCACAACGATCTGGCCGCCCAGTCGAAGTGGATGAAACCCATATCAAGGCCATTATCGATTCAAATCGTCACAGCACAACACGAGATATTGCAGAGAAGCTCAATGTGTCGCATACAAGCNTTGAGAAAGTGTTAATGTCTAACAAATCTTCGAAACTAATTATTTTAATAAAACAAGACCTGTAAGTAGTAGAGTAGATTGAACTAAACGTGAAAAAATAATTCAAAATAAACCAGGAATAAAGCGAATGATGATGTACCTTCCTCACTCAAGGAGTAAAGGCCTCTTTTGCCGATCGATACGGACAAATAGAACAAACCACTTTCTAACTGCGAGTTTCTTATAAATAGCCTGTGATATACATTTATATATTCGTTATTTTGTCAATATAAAATAGAGTTTTCTCTTAATTCAAGCAAATCCATTTATATTCTGATATATTCAGGTCATGCCACATTGTTTGCAATTTTGATATAGGCCCATTTAGAATTCCGATTAATGTAATTTTACGCATTAGTTTTATGTAACAATCATTATTAAATTAATTAAACTATGACGCTGCCTACAGTAACAATGATGTCTCTTGGTCGTTTCAACGCTTATTGAAGTCTTTTCTACTTACGTACTTCCAGATGACAAGCATATATTAATATTTTTCCTTGGCAGGACACGATTCATTCAAAAATAATTCATTAATTATATTATAACTATAATGTAACTTGCTTCAACAACATGCTCATTCAATCAGTTAGGAATAATAATTTAGTTTCCAGGAATGGGGCTAGATAGAACTAATAATTATGTGGCAATAATTGCACTTTTATTGAGACGGGTTTTGTGTAGTATACGAAATCTTAACATCATTAAATGATAGTCAAAATAATTTGAAATAATGCTTTGTTTGTCCATAAAATTTAATTTATAATTTAAAGTTTGTCGAAACTAGCGTTTTTGACCTATATATATATATATATATATATATATATATATCTTATAAATAGTGATACAATCTGTCACTTCCCATATTGCCTAGTCTATGCCTGTTGCTATTACTTTTTGACACACTGTAAAATGGCAAGTTTTAGGCTTTTAATGAGTTAACTAAAATCATACCTTATTAATAACATTAAACGTGCTCATGTTTACCCTTATCAGCACTGTACTTTGAAAGTCGCTATTCATTCGCCTGTTTATCTTGACGTGTTTATAAATAACAAATGCGTATTTCAAATATCATCGTATCTTCCAAACCCAGCTTTAACGAGACAACAGCATTTTCATAAATATCAATTATTTTGCGGTTGAAGCCAGGAGCAAGCCAAGAGTTGCTCTGATTCCATTTTAGTGCAGATATGTAGCCTGATCCTCATTGATATGAATAAGTTCTAGAGAGTTTCTGTTAAGCATGTCTTCGATTTCCTTTCCAGCTATGTTTGTAGCTGGCATGTCTTCGATTTCCTTTCCAGCTATGTTTGTATTCTTATTGCCCCATCTGGAGGAATGGACGTTGAAGTCTCCTAATACTACCGTTTCGTTTGAGATGATAAGAAGATCAAAGTTAGGAAAATTCTGTGGTGGATTATAGACTGTGAATATCTTGAAGTGGTTTTGACATTTCAAAACATTTAATCTGATTATTTCACATTTGTCTTGTATCGAGCCCATACTCTTGATTAGATCGTAGTGTGAGGTGAGGCCTTCCTTTACTCCAGTCAGAATTCCACTTGCAACTTGGCGGTAGTAAGATAGAAGGTAAGAGGTATAACCTGGGAATTGGTAGTATTTGAGTTTGTTTTCTGTAAAATCGGCTTCCATGATTGTGAACGTGTCTATATCATAGCTGTGTAGGACTTTCAGTATTTTAATCTTCTTGTCCTGTGACATCCCTCCGGCATTTCACTGAAGGATTTGAAGAAGTTGTGATTGATCCTGATGTGAGCGACTTCTCTTTTGCTCAGTTTCAAGCTAATCATGATAAATTGAAGTCAAATACCGAGTCATAGACCAGGGCCACCACTTGGAGGTAAGTCTATCACGTACCCTACTATCAAATATAACAATGTTTTGAAGTGGGTTGAAATTTGCCAATTCAAAGCAGTCTTACCCATGTTTTTGTATTTGTTGTTACTTGCCCGTGCATTGGAAAATCGCCAATGGCAAGATTTTAAAGCAAATCTTTTGCTTTAACAACAATTCCCTTCATTATATATTTAACGCATAGCTTTTCTATGATCCAGGTATTAGCAATTTCAAAATGCATTTATGTTTAAATAAGGTCATTTCTGGTTCGATTTTTGTTTATAATAGATTGAGAAGAATTATAATTCAGTTAATATTCACACTTGAAATCTAAACTCCCTACTAAAATTGTCATTTTATTGATCATGAGAAAGAATAGTATAAACCTATTTGGCTAATACCAATATTTATTGAAAGTAATGTTGTAGCAGTGTTGTTGTTACATAAATGATTGGAACTTTCGCACAGGACTTACTTCCATTTTGACGTCTTACCAGAAATAATTAAATTTAAATGTCTGCTCACTTATGTCATTTTCTATCACAATTTTGCAGAAAATTTAGTTTCGACGAAATTTATGTTCGAGGAAAATATATGCCTCCTACATGTTTTTTGCAAGCATTTCAAATATGAAGATGTGTATGTTTAATTGATAACATATATTACATCATTTCATGATCGATAATTTGAATGAATTTTTAAATTGAAGTATTGTTGCTATCTTCTACAATAAATATCATCATAATTTTAGAAACTACCTTATGTCCTACAAAGTGACTCATTTCAAAGTTGGCTTAAGTTCAATTAGTGTCTATGAATGTTGAAAGAAAATGCTCAACACAAAATCTTATGTCAGTTAGTTGTTGACGCCGTCGATGTATGGCAGATTTTGGAGGCGCCAATCACATACTTAAGTTGGTTGCAATAAAAGCATGTATTGGTAATTGAGATAAATTAAACTATGGCAAATATTGAATTATGCTAATGATCTAATGATTACTATTCTATTTGTTTTTACTTTGCTACAGTTAAATGCTCCCCCAGGAATAGAGGGCTCGGATTTGCCTAATACAATTTGTTCGAGAATTGTGTCAACACCTTCTGGGAATACAGAACCTCTCATATTTATTGATAAAAACGGAAGGAGTGTATCTAGCTATTGATTTCAATAGGCATTTTGTTATTTTTCTTTACCAGAGTATATACGGAACGGAGAATGGACACTTTTGGCCTATTACTATAACAAATGGCAGTTGTCATTGTGATAACGAATTGGTCGGGACACCATGTAAAAGGCATAATGGTAATGGTTTTCTGTAAACCTTTCATTGTAACTTTACATTCCTTATAAATGTTACATGAACATAACAATAAACGACATTGATATATTTGATGGACTGGCAGTCTATGGATCCGTCTATGCATGCCTTGCCAAATTTGTCCCATATTGCCAATTCCAAGCCGTTAAACCAGGTTCGACCTAATAAAGTGTAACTGGGTACTAACTAATGTTCTTTTTAAATTGATGTTTTGGTTATTTGTAGGGAAACCAATACCCCAAGTGTCGTTTCCGTTTGTCAGGTTTCAGCAAGGAATGAATTCTGTAAAAATTAACTTTTCCATTAATGGAACGAAATCCACCTCCCTAGTAAGTTTGTTTTCAATTTCATTACAAAGGTTAATAATTTGGGTTGTGCTTATGATTCATAATTAAACGTTCACTATGAGAAAAAATGTGGGAAACTAAGAGCTTTTAATCAATTTAATTAATAAACTTATATCTTAAATTATAATGCTTTCAGTTCATATTATTTTTTACGAATTCACTCATGGCCAATTATTTCATTCATACATGTAATTTCTAACAAATTCAATTTATTGATTTAATTCTGTGGACAATAAATATTTTTAATTCAGTATGAATAAATAATTCGGGTTCGGTGAAATTGTTTTATATTTAATTTACGAATACACTCATTGCCAATTATTTCATTCAGTGAAATTGTTATATATTTAATTAATAAACATGCATACCAAATTATGTTAGCTTTTAAATGAATAGTGATTTGCCTATTTAAGTAATCTCGCAATTGATTATTTGATTCATACCGGAGTAAAAATACTTTTAACTCTATATTGATAATATCAATACTTCATGTTGTTTAAGGTGAAGTTCGGCAGGAACAATATAAGGGTTTGCTTATGGAATGGAAAGAATGTTGCTCAGTTTCAATCTCAAATTTAATGCAGTGGGTCAATTTGGATTTCATGGATTACGTAATGCATGTAATTCATTGACACTATTTTAATTCTAAAGAAAACTTTGCTGAAAATGCAGAAATGGACCGGTTGGATACTACACTTGAATATTATTGAATCGGAAGTGAAACAAGCACACATTTTCTTTATGTAGTAAAAAAGACATATGTGGGAGTTAGTGTTTACTGGACTGCAGACGGTATGTCTATTTTTTGATTTTGCTCATCTATCTTTTTGCTAATTTGCCGTTCTCAAAGATTTGCTTTCCGTTTAGGTGTGTCACCTGATATAACGGAATGCAAAAGTTGGTTCTTTTCTGTTTGGTGAAATATTACTGTTTTGGAAATTGAGGCCAGAAAAGATATGATATCTTTCTGCAAATATGAGATCCTTAGAACATCCTATTCAATAGCTTATGTCGGGGTTAATGTAGAAATATGCCAATTTTTCTCATTATGAACTAAAATTGAAACTCCATTAAGGAATTTGGCTGTCCCCATTTGGAAATTATCTTAAAATATAATTTTTCAGTAATTTTTGAATTAAAATCATTAAAATCATAAAGATCGTTTTATTTAAACTTTAGCCATATATTTTCATAAATACTAAAGAAGTAGCAAGCCATAAATTTATTTAAAATATTTGGAAAAGATGGTTTATAAATTTCGGTTTAAGCATTTTTAATTTGACTAAGGAATTAATATTGTATTTGGCACTAATATAATATTTAATAAACATATTTGAATTAGCATAGAAAACATAATATTTATTTTAAAATTATTGAAAAGATAGAAAAGTCATC